CAATCGGCTAACAGTGCCTCAAATACCCCGACGCAAAACGTAGCGGGTTCGCAACTACCTCTCAGCCCTCATATCAAGGAAGATAGGCCGAATATGCCGATTTTTCCACCGTTTAAAAGACCTCTTGTTCCAATGGAAACAATGCGTCCCCCACCCCCTAACTTGTTTCCTCCACGGCCGTTTTACCAATTTGTTCCTCATGATAATGTCCATACTGAATCAGTTAATTCATCCGATCCTCAGTTTCGTTCCGGCGGGAATACGTTGCAGTATCTGCCCCGCGGATTTCCAGCTGAAAATAAGTAAGCTAACAATAGTTACCAGTTTACCTGCCCGTCATTCCCTCCCCCAAGTCCTACCCCTTTTTATCCACGTGGGAATTTTTTGATGCCACAAAATTTTTTGCAGAACCGGATGGTTGCATCCGGACCGTTTACTCCGTGGGCGACCCAGAACTGGACGATGTAGCCCACCTCCCTCAAAAACTAACAGCCTTTCCCTTCAAACTTTTAGGTTTAAATGCCAGATCCTTGCTTACTAAGATGCCTTTGCTTCAGACTCAGGTGTTCGTCCATTGTCCTGATATTGTTTTAGTAACTGAGACGTGGGCATCAGCCTCCGTAGCTGACTCCGAACTCTCGCTTCTAGGCTATAATTGCATCCGAAATGATCGCAAAGATAGCCGTGGTGGGGGCAGCTGCGTCTACGTTAAGCAAACACTTACATTTTTGCCGTTGGAACTCCCGCACTTTTCCGCAGTAGAAGGCAGCTGCTGGCTCCAGGTTGCACTAGAAAATAAGTTCTCCTTACTCATTTGCTGCGTCTATCGCCCTCCCAACGCCAATGACAATTTTGATCGTTTACTCTCACAGGCATTTCATGCTGCGGCCGACTAAAGCTTTAAGTATCAATTGGTTGCGGGTGACTTTAATCTTCTCGACGTCCGCTGGTCTCCGCCTTCAGGCCCAAGAAGGTTCGAAAACTTTCTTGAGGCTGTAGATGTTGGGATATGGAATCAGGTTGTCGATTTTCCCACCCAAGGCTCAAGCAAACTTGACCTAATTTTCTGTAGAGGCTGCATGCCATCGTCGGTGTCATCCCTAGGCCCACTGGGAGGCTCAGACCATGACATAGTTGTTTCAACGTTGGAATTCGAGGCTGACAAAACGTCGTCCCCAAAGTATAGCTTTTTCCGCAATTTCCGATCAACACGCTCAACCGAATTATTAACACACCTTAATTCCTACGACTGGACTGAGTTCTTCCTTAGTTCGGATGTAAATGTTTGAATTGCAAATCCGTACGAAATTTTGGATCTGCTTATTTCTCGCTTTGTCCCCCATAAGAAAATTATTACTGTTGGGGATGAGGTTTTCCTACCCTTGCCCTTTCGTCGCAGATTGCGCAGGCTTTATCGTCGTTTACATCTGCAGAACGATGTTTCTGTTCTGCCCTTGATTTGTGATATTTTTGATCGAGCTAAGAGATTGTCTGAAGAAAAACAGCTAGCCGAAGAGGTCCACTTTACCGAAAACCATTCGTTAAGTGTCTCGAAACTTTTCTCTAGAAAAATACGAACTCAGAGAAAGAAGCAGTATCCCATCTTTCGAGACGATCTAGGAAATCCCATAGTTGATGCCCAGTTAACCGCGGATAGCTTCAATGATTTCCTGTCCAAAACGTTTATTGAAGACTCGACCACTCCGCTTCCGACCATCCAGCCATTGACTGGGGCAGTTCTAGAAACTATAACTTTCACTCTGTGGGATGTGACTGTTGCGATTCGGCGTTTTCGTCAATCATATAGTCCAGGCCCTGATGGTGTCCCTGTAAGCATTTTAAAAGCCGATGCAAACACGATCTTCCCATCCCTCTTATGCAAGATATTTAATCTTGCTCTTGAAAGTGAAACCTATCCTACCTTGTGGAAGGGATCACACATTCTGCCCATTCCTAAGCACGGCAAATCTACATCATTTGATGACTTTCGGCCAATAAACACCCTCCCCGCAGTTTCGAAGATCTTAGAGACATTGATCAAGGATAAGATGATGTGTCACTTAACAGCGAATAACTTACTGAGTGTTGCTCAGCATGGATTCCTCAAAGCTCGATCTTGTGACACCTGTCAACTCTCTTTCTTTGACTATTTTCTCCAATCTAGGGACCATGGTTTTACTCTTTACACAGTATATTTCGATTTCACTAAGGCTTTTGATCGTGTTTACCATGCTCTTCTTCTCTTGAAACTGTCCTCTTTCGGAATAGGTGGCAAACTTTTGAATTTTATATCCTCTTATTTGGGCACTCGTACAGAACGAGTTAAGATTTCCAATACTATCTCCAACCCCACACGTGTGAGAAGTGGAGTCATTCAGGGAAGTGTACTCGGCCCGCTTTTATTTTGCCTTTTCGTTAATGATGTACCCGATTTATTTCAGAATGGTAAGCCTTTCATGTATGCCGATGATCTTAAAGTTGCATATCGATATAAGCCGGCAGATCGTGACATCGTGCTTGAGCTCCTAAAGAGCGATCTACAGGCTTTCGCCCAGTGGTGCCGCACATGGCGCCTTTCTCTTTCTTGGCATAAGTGCTCAGTCATGGTGGTTGGCGACGACCACCAACCTCAACTAAATATTGAAGGTCACTCCATAAATGTGCTAGGGGTTATAAAGGATTTGGGCGTATCATACTCCAAGAGTCTCAATCTCTCGGAGCACTGTGCCTTGATAGTCTCCAAAGCACGTAGAACGACCGGGTTTATCCTCCGAAACTTTAAAACTAGGGATATCAGAATGCGCCTTCACAACATGTACGTTAGACCTGGTCTGGAATACTGTTCGTTTTTATTTAGCCTCATGCGTGCTACTGAGCGGAAGAAAATAGAATCCGTTCAACACTTTTTTACCAAGAGAATTTTAGCCGCGGAACACCGACATTTGTCTTACCAAGAACGTTGCCGGCTTACAGGCCTTGATCCTTTATGGTTCCGTAGATTACAAAAGGGGCTATTTTTGCTATTTAAACTCTTATATAATCACACATTTAACCCGCTCACTTCTTTAAGTCACCATATCCACTCACGACGTAACAGTCACCGTGAGGTCTTCTTATTTCTGCCTCTGGCACGTACTGTTAAATATCGTCGGTTCTATTCTGTAAATGCAATTGCTATTTGGAATAAGCTACCAATGAGTGTGAAAACTCTGCAAAATTATCCTTTATTTAAGAGAACTATTACTCGATTTTTGCATTCAGAAAAGCTGTTCCTCAACGCCTCTACTTTGACTATCGCCAACTTCATGAAAGGAATTTGTCGTCCGATAATCTCCGATACCGTGCAACCCCCTCTCCCCCCTTCTCGACGGTCGAATATCTACCACCAGCGGTTTTTTTCTTCTGAACCCTTCAAACCATAAAAACCATCATCAACTATCTTTTTATTCGTCAGGAGTTTTTTTCACTGCTGGTCGGATTTGTGTTTAATCGCTTCCCTTGAAAATGTCTGTAAACTGGCATTAAATAAAATTTAAAAGGCCATAGAAGGAATTTAAATTCACAACCAGAAGCAGTTGAAACATTTCAATGCAAATTTAACACCCATTTGCTGAAGAACTACTCTACATATAATCACGATTTTCTCACTGGCAGCAGTTTGCACCTGGCTCACGCTTACCGGTGAGTTAAATTTTTAGAATTACTTCTGTAAAATTTACTCTATTGTTTTTTTTGGAAATGACTAATGAACTTAAGAGCGAAAGCCGCATTCCATTAATAAACAGACTTACAGTTAATTAAAGCCTGACGACTTCATGTTTAAAATTTTCTGGAAATTATTTCGTATGCATAACTTCTCTGTGCACAGCTTCCTCCACAGTTTACGTTGAAGGAAGGTACCCGGGGCCTCAAGCCTATTTATCCGTTAGAAAGATTAACTGACCTGTGTAGCGGGATAAAGAGGGTCAACGTCAATATGCCTATGTCTGTGATGTCGGATGTGCATTATCATTCTGTTATAATTTAAAAAGGAGCTCACCTCACTAAGTGATATCTACTCAAGCTTCCTAATGGCCTGCGGACAGTATCGTGCAAAATCATTTATCCTTGTTCGTAAAATTTAATATACCGCTGTCTGCTGCATGTTTTATTATTAAGAAAGTTCCCAAGGTAAAAGATTCTTCTTCTCTTTCTTTTTGGTTTTTCTTCGTCTTTAATTTGGACCGATTCCTTGAAGTAACCATGACCCTATCAAAGCTCGGTCTCTTCAGAATTTTGGCGGGAAGATGTTTTTTGACCTCCTTTTATTATGTCCTTTCCAAGCCCCCAAACTCCTCGAGTGTGTCCCATCTTTATGATAATGAAAATGTCCGCGCTTTTCGCGTCGTTCCTAAAATCTTCTGTTCAATAAATAAGCTAAGCTATCCGATGGTAAGTTTGAGAGGAGGTGTCAAACGGTAAAGTTTCTGCAGACTAAGACTAGGGGTCAGAGTTCCCTATCTATACTTTCTTGAGTCGTTACCCGAATATCCCTTAATGTATGCCTTAAGCGACTGTGATTTTAAGCTTAGTTAAGTTTTGTTCAGTTTATTAAAGGAAATAGGCGTTAGCCTTTGAGCACCATACTTGCGACATAAGATCGGGTGCGGTGTAAATAATGTGGTCCAAAATAGATCGAATGTGATCATTAGGACACGAAATTTAGGCGTGAGCCTCAAGAGTTAAATACAATCTCTCATTGACATTGCTCATTCCGGAACGTAAGTCTGTCAACGTTCATTTTCAAACTTTCTATGGCATTCTGTTGTGTAATCATTATAACAACGATAAACATGTGCATACCCAACCTTGCCGCTGAACGCGCGGTGTTTATAACTCCAGAGTTTGGCCGCGGTAGTTGTCCCTCCCGACTGGCAAAATTTGTTTTTACGCACACCTTTTGAGCCGCCTAATCAAATATCGCGTTTATCGGTTTTGCCACATATAGTCGGTAATGTGCAATGCGCCCATGCAGTATAACGACTTTGTTGCTTGCGATCATTTCCTCAATTCTGACTGGGATTTGTGGAGTGTTTCCGGTGCTCCTAATTAGGCCGTCCAATAAGTCTTCCTTTGACACAAAAAGTTTGCATAAGCGTCCCATGCTACATAATACTTTTAGTTCTGAATAGATGGTTAAGCTTTGCTACCGGCAGTCTAGTTGGCGACGTCTTTCTGCACTTGCTTCCTGAGACCTGGTTGCATTCAGAAGGTAAAAGCATGCATTTTCCATTATCTTCAGGCTGTGCTTTGCCCTGGGGGGTCGGCTTGATCGGTGGCATTGTAATTTTTCTATGCGTGGAGAAGATCTCCTCATTATACGAGGAGTCCTTACGAATCCAGGTTTTTGCGTTCCTCCGTCTAACTTTGCTGTTTCAGGCTAGCCCTTCCGTCCAACACAACGGCCTCGTAATTCGAACAAAACACGATCACCCCACTTCCTCTAATTGCTCTCAGGCAAATTCTTCCTGAATTAACTGTCGTAGATTATCGGTTATTTGAATTTAGCTGCAAATGCTACCGATAACTTTACACATGGACTGTCCATTGGAGTCAGTTATTTGGCCTCAAATAAAGTACGTTCCATCCTTTTTTACGACTAGCTCATTCCCCCGCGTACTCCTTCTAGGAAAAACTAGTACTTACGTTATTAAACTCATCACCGGATGCGAAATTGCTTTTTAGATCTATCCTCGGGTGTAAGCCCTTTCGTTAGCTTAATTTTGAGTCTTCGCCCCGCTGATGTCCGCTTCCTACGAGGAAGATTCCACCAGTTGTCGACTCAGCTGGTCACGCAGTCGACGAAAAAACAATTGGGCAGCTTCAGGGCATTTTAGTTACAGCCACGTCCGTAGAAATAGTGCGAAGGTGGACTGCAGCTATCGGAAAAATTTTGTAGTAGCGGCGAGGCAACAGGGCAGCTAAACCGTGCTTTTAAGTCGACCGCACACTCTTTGTCAAGGAGAGTCATAACCTAAGCCGGCATCTTTGTCTCTAACGTAATTTGCATGTCAATGTCAACTTTCCTGAGGACTGCGTACACTTCAACTACAGCATTGCTATTTATTCTTTCCAGGTATGTGGGCATTTCATTTAACGAGCTTCATCCGGTGAATGCCGTGCCAAGCAGCTTATTAGCGGAATATCAATGGTGCATTCAGTTTGTCTGCCGCTGCAATTTCTCTTTAGCTAACAGACTAAGTCGGCAACCCTACTGCATACATGCTTGTGGGAGGTTAATTTGCTTGTCCTCGATTGATTCTAAACACCTTTGCTTCATACCCACTTTATTTACAGAGGTTCTTTTACGCGTTGTAGAAGTAAGCTTCCATGTGAAAGTTCGGCTTTTTACTTTTTCGTCGTTTATGTTGGGTGTTTTGCTAGTTTCCACTGGAAGGCTTTTCCGCCGTTTTATTAGCCTAACGTTTGGACCTTTACACATCCCAGCCTACACATTTGCTAACTGCTATGTGAAGCGTAGCACTTTCAACGCTATTTTTTGCTTTTGTGTTGGCCACCATCTGTTTAATGTAACAATCCCAAATTTGGTTTTCCCATTGCCAATCTCGAATATGTAGACTTAACTGCACAGTATTGCCTGTTTATCGCTCCTGTTCTTGTGTTTGGAGATGTTGTGTGACCACGGCCGAGTAATCTCTTTGCACTGACTTTGTCGGGCTTTCTAGATACTCAATATAGCTCTTGGCCAGGTGCCTGTCCGTTTGGCAGCTCGTTTTACTAATACTACTAGCTATTATACGGTTTAGCCTTTGTTACAACGACGGATTTCCAGCTTGGGTCATCGTCCGTTTAAGTCAGGCTTCCCGCCAACTTTAACATTAATTAAGGCATATCTGCATACTAGCACTATGCGATTACATTCTGCAATCTCACAAGGGGTCTAAAGTAAGCGAAACCTTTTTCTTTGTCGTTTAATTGTTCATTAAGCACCAACCACTTCTCTTCTCCGCTATCGCTAACTGGTGCTTGATGAAAGTTTCGGGACTTGGGTCTTTAATTCAAAGCGCCATCTTTTTGCCAGTGCGGACTCCTGACCACATCTTGCATCCTGATCCATGAAGTGCCCCACGAGATTGCAGACTTTGTCATACTTCTCCGCAGCGGATTTACTCGCTGGACTGCCGTCAAGGCTCAGGTATGTCCCCCCCTCTGCCATGCGGAGGTCATTTGTCTATTTTATCGAGGCTTATTCCACTGAATCATTTGTCTTTCATCTTCCGCAGCTTTTGACGGCGTCAACATGTCTTATGGGCACTCTGTCAGTTCTCCTCGTCAGCTCCGACAGTAAGGGTATGTTTTATGGAGGCATTTTAAAGAAAATAATTCAATCTTCTACTGGAATGTTTATTGTTACTTTTCCTGACGAACGTTGGGTTGGCCAGTCCACCAGTCCATATTCCTCGGACATAATCAGGGGAGATTTTTTTTAGCACGGGAGTATGCCATTATGCATTTGCTAGACTATAAAATATCTTGGAGTAATTTGGTAATTTATTACCTTTTCCTAACTGCGCGTGAGTCCACTAAGATAAAAGTAGTCGCTCTTCAGGAACGCATTATTTCGTGTAAAATTCATATCGCGTCGCGCAAAAAGACTGACCGATATTGTGCTGATTACAAGACCATCAAAGGAATTTTATGTAAATCTTAGTTCTACATCTGGGGACGTTCCGCTGTTCACGATGACTAGTTCGTCAATCTTTTAACGTTTAAATTTCGTCAAAATACTTTTCATATAGACTTGCTCACGGAGGATTTATCCAAAAACAGTTCGGCGCCGTCTGTATCCTTTTTAAAAAGTGTTCGGAGTACCTTACTACTGCTCGGATTGGTTTGTCGAGTCTGGCGCCGCCTTCCAGTAGGACTTCGTCACTGACCGTCGCCTCACAGAAAAAGGTGACAAGACAAGGTGACCTCGTCTTCCTTTTGTCCCCGCGAATTCCAATGAGAACCCAAGGTTTACGCGGCCCGACTCATGCGTCCGCGTTCGTTAGAATCGACGAAATTGGATCTCCAATAGTGGATCAGATATCAGCTACGTCGGCTGACGTCATCCGACAAATTAGGAAAAATCGGTGTGACCTGCTAAAAAGTCCATTGATTATGCGTATTTCCTCTACCTGCGGTGTTTTCATTGTCCGCTGGACGTTCGGCCAATCCAGGCACCTCAATTGGACACTGTCCACAACTTCTGCTGCAGTATCGTGTATACCAACTCCGGCGGGCAAGAGTCGCACTTGGATCGCGCTAAAGGACGAGCCATGCGCTCATTACATGACAACCTATCCATCCGAAATAAATGTAGTTCTAGTATTACCGACAAAGACAAGGGTAATACTATTCTGCCTATATATCATGCGCCGCTGTGCGGCTGCTGGTTGGGCTCGAGAGAGAGTCCATAAGGCACAACGGAACGAGTGAGTTCCGTATGAACGATCGGTGAGCGCCCCCTAACAAATGTAGTTCTTGTTAATGTCTTCACGTTCGTGGCAGAGGAAAACCAAAGTAACGAGCTCTGCGGCTCTTTTCGTGAAGTTATCCGTTTTCTTGGACGTTTTTGGAAATTTTTGCAGCATTTGAATTCCTGAACCGGTAAAAACTATCCCAAATACCCACCATGTCGTCGAAGAACTCATACTTAGTAGTTGACTTGCTAGTGACGATCAAACATATAAAGTAGAAGAATTGTTCGGAGATTGTAATTTTTCCTACTTAAATGTGTAAAGACCGCCTGAGTGTCTCCATGACAAATGTAACTGCGTCATTTTTAAACTTGCGGTATGACCAACAGCTTATCTCCACTCAACAGCATGACACATTAGTCAAATTGTTTAACAGCAATCCCCAATGTCTGTGCTCTTCGGATTCTTCTCATTTGATTGTTTATCACAACCTTTTAGACCTGAATCTTGTAGTAACTTCAACGCTTCCTTTTTTGTTGGCCCATGTTTAAGTATGTGTCGGGTGGACACGACGCCTGCGGCGATCGCTCAAATAGCGTGGGCGGCCATTAAGGAAAAAAACCAAGGGCACGTGTTCAATCCCTCAGATTCGTAAAGGGAGAGCCAATCAGTAGGTAAGGTTGTCTGTCGCCGGGTGTAGAGAGTGCGTGTATCGTTGTGTCCACACAAATTTAACGTAGGCTGGCGCTGACCAATAGTATCCAGCGGTGCTTGGCCAGCATAATTTTTCGTCTGGGTCGTTGCTCCCTGCTGGTCTGTTTGCAAATAATAGGCTTCAGTGGATGTACGAGGTCGCGAGGCCTCTTTCAATGACCTTTCCCGTCCGTCCCTACTATTTGCTTGTTGGTAAACAGTTCATGTGCTTGCAAAGAGCCTCGTATTTTTTCATTTGACTAATTTTTATGACACTACATAGACGGTCTTTTGGATGCTTCTGTCAACGCATGTCGGCTCACCTAGTTGGTAAACAACGCATTCACTTAACTTTTCAACTGGCCGATCTCGTTGTTTTGGTCTAGCTGAAGTTAAAACCCTGGAAGATTTTTTGGCCGTGGTACAACCGCGGAGAATGTGAATATGCCGCTTGTCAGGAGTTCTATCAGTCTGCGCAAATTCTACTAGAAATGCTTACAGTCATTAGAGCAAGGCCCCACTGACGACCATGTAATGTTGCTAAACTGACCTTTCCAAAACAATCGACTCGGATCCTCTGGCCTGATGGTTAGAGTGTTGTGCTATTTGCAAATGTTCGGCTTCCGACCTAATCTTATCAATTTTTCCTTGGTGAGGCCTACCAACGTCTGTCGGAAAGAAAAGTATCATAGCTGAGGTCCTTATTACGGTTTGAGCTAAGGATAATTGGGAGATTTCGTGCACACAGCCATAAGGCTGAGCAGTCGTGTGTTAACAGCAGTGTTTGTATAGTTACTCCCTTACGGAAATTTGCTGAACGCGCGTCCATTTTGGTAGCACAATAGGCTAAAAATTATTTTTTTTCAGTGCATTTAGTTTGCATTCATGGAGACATGCGTTCTCGATTTCTGTTCCCCCTCTGAGATGTTCAAGAGCGGAAACAGGTTTGGACTGCATTACTCATACAAAAATTGTTTAGGCATTCCTTCGTATCAGGATTGTTTGAAGCCGCAAGTCTTCAAACAACGTCACACTTTGGTAGGCCGGTCGGCAAGTCGTTAGTGCTGGAGAGACCGGGAAGGGTGCGCAGTGCCAATTCACGGGAACAACTAAGCGGCGCAGTGGGGGGAGGAAGCAGGCGAATGAGGTGGTGTTGCTGCCGTCATTGCAGGGAGGGGGGGGGGGGCGGGGCGACATGGTCACTCAGCTCTTTCAGCACTCTGTTGGTCGTGCAGTCCTTGGCTGATGATTTTCAACTATGAAATTGAGAAACAGGGACTTCGCCACCCATCAGGTCCGGACTGACAGTTCCAAACATGAGGCCACAGGAACCACAGGTCGGGGTGAAGCGGAGATCCAATTCACTTCCATTGGCGATTGAGACATCAGGCGAAATTCATCATATAATAGGAGCTATGCACATGAATCCTTCAGCCTCTGAAGATGCGCTGCCGAGATTGCTACTCAAACTGTCAGACTCAGAATGGACCTCTCCCAGTAAATGTCCCGTTCCAGTCTGATTTATAGTCGATTTTGGCCTCCACCCGTGACTCAACACGTGAAACCGCCCCACCCTTTAAGCTCCATTAGTTCTTAGGAACACCAATCAGTCCTGCCAGACCGCATATTTACGTGCATTAGCTAGCCCATCTCAAGAAATGTTAGCCGAAATTCTAAAATGCATTTAAAATTAGGAAGCGTTACCTAGGGATGGTTGTAATATTGAGTATCGTGCAGCATAATCCTATGATATTGCGACCATGCCAGAATGCCGGCCTTTCGTCCGCCAGCAAAACCCGAAGTTGGTAACAAGTGCCTGCTTAGGTAGTATAAATTTTGCCCCTTGATTTTTCACGCCTTTATAGATACAAATATGTCTTGCGTTTTCTTGTGAATGCGTTTTCTTATACTCATTTGATAGCCAACCACCTTTTCTTCAAATGCTATACTCGAAGAAGAGCCTCTTTCGGCCTTAACCAAACTTGTAATTAGTAGATATTGGCCACCTACAGTGTAGACCTAATCTGCCTAATTGCGGCTATCCACCAAGTGTCTTGGCCCAAACTGAAGTGCTTAAAAAGTTTTGGACCGGAATCCGGTAGTGAAGCGGTCTTTCTGCGCCGCACTACCATTCACTGATTCCTGTGCTCTTTTAGACGCACCCACAGTCCTCCCGTTCACCGCCGGTGGCTTTTTGTACATCGCTCTGGTCTCTCTCTTGCCCTCACTCATCAGGGAGAAGTGTCCCAGGTACGGTGTAATCTGCTGCCTTTCTGTTTCCTCGTTATTGAATAGCGTGTTCGTCCATATGTATGCAAACAACTCTTTTAACTTGAACTCACCGGCAGTTTAGACTTGTTCAAATTCAAAGTAGATCAACCTCTCAAGGACTTAAAGACGCCTTTTGTACGTCGCCTTTTTGTCCTGGAATGTTCCTCTTTCAGTTTCCATACCCTCTCCCGAATCCACCATTAGAGTTATGACAAATGCAATGGGACAGTTTACTAGTCACGACCGGCGAATCAAATACACTGCGTGTTTCTGCAAATGGTAACTTTACATTGGGGCCGACCTGCCTCTGTGGGCTTGGCTGCGTCAGCCTTGGTAAGCTGACAGAAGGGGGGAATGGCGTGGCATATTTCTTGGTGGGCATTTTGCCAAATTCTTGTGTCTCGAACATCTCCCGGGTACGACTGGCTGACGACGACGAAGACGACCAATAAGTCAGAAATGGCCATTCCGGCCTCCTTTGTCTTTGTCGGCAATGTTGATCTGTCATCCGGTCGTCTTGTTGGCAGCAAAATCGAAGGTATGGCTGTTGCAGGTGGCTCGGCCTTCGGTCGACGTGTTTGTATTTGTAGGACCGAATCCCCAGTTTTCATCCCCCACTAACAGCCTTTCCGCTGCTTCCAATCACTTCATAGCACGAATAACCGATAATAACGGGATCTACCAATTTATCGAGTTACTTCGTTAACATAAGCAGCGTGTCGAAAGGGGAAAAACGCGGTCGTGTCAAAAAATAGTGGAATTCTGACCCAGTAAGCAGATTTCTTCGATTATGGAGGGAGGGGTTGTGTGAGGGTCGGGACGATGAGCGGCGTTGGGACGTTTTGATAGAAAGACGTCTAAAAAGAGGGGTTTAGGTTGTGCGGCACGCTAAAGAGGGTAGGTTAACGAAGTGAAGTCCCTAGTCGCAGTGCAGGAGGGGGTAGGGGAACGGAGTCGTAATGGTAAGTTCAACTGACCGGCGATCTGCTTGGACTTTCGGTTACGTCATCTACTGTGCCCGCACGATCGTCAAGGCAAGGTCCACTTCCCGTCAGCGTTGCAGGTGCCAGCCAACATTGGTGTTTGCATTGACTGGTCTCCGATAGCTGGCCTGTCTCGTAAAGTGCCAGTCGAAATTCTAAAGTGCGCTTCCGATTAGAAAGGATCACTTATGTATTGTTATAATATTGACTATCGTGAAATATAATCCCACGATGTTTCAATCACACCGGGATGCCGGCTTTTGAATGAGTTTCTTTCTGGTCGTTCACGAAAACTAGAATCTATAAAAAGACTACTTCAGAAGACGAAGATGCAATCACTGTTCCAGTGATCGCATCTTCGTCTTCTGAACTGCTATCTGGAACTCGCCTGTTCGCTTCTATCAAGACTACTTCAGTAGTATGAACTTTCGCATGGATTTCGGACCCCCCGTATGAACTCAAACCTAGTTTACAGAAAGCACGCACGATATATTCTTTCTTGTGGTCATTTGGTAGAAACATGCTTCTTCAAATGTTAGCATAAGAAAAAAAGGCATCTTTGGGTTTTGAAAAACCTCTCAATTCCTGACTAATTTTGAATCCAGCCTGCAGTTACTCCTGCGTACAGGATTTAAGAACTCCCTGCTATATACTTCCCGTTGAGGAAAAGTATTTCTCAATACTTTTAAGAAGACGTCATACAATGCTCATACGGTTATGCAGTGAGTGTTGACAGATGCGATGCTTTGTGGATGGAATTGAGAAGATATTTTTTAAACCATGAGGTGCGCTCTATTCGAACATGAAATTTGGAAACGACATAAGTTTCTGCCAGGTGAGCACAGGAAAGAATAGTTATGCGCATGCTTTCTATAAAATATATTTGAGTTTCGTTTTGACCCAACTGTGAAAAACTCGGTGCGTCGGTGGTATTCGAACACCCGACCGCAAGGGGAAGGCTTCGTTACAGCCAACGCTCTGGCCACCTGGGCTACGAGGCCACACCAGGAGACGTAACTTTAATCACGTCTGGGTTAAGTTACCCTCCTAACCTACTGCAACGTCTGGAATCCACCAAATCTGATACAGTGAGCTGACTGCCCAAACAAGATTTCCCAAGTAATCCACCTAGAATCCACCAGACGGCTATCAGGCTCATGTAATTAATAGCTGTTTTCGCTGTAGGCTGGGCGGGTAAACTTGACCCCAAGGTAATGAAACTCGCGTCGTCCGGTGGGGCCTCGTGGCTCAGGTGGCTAGAGCGTTGGCTGTACTAAAGCCTTCCCCTTGCTGACGTGGGTTCGAATCCCACCGAGGCACCGAGTTTTCCACAGTTGGGTCAAAATGAATTATTTGAGCTCTGCCATAACACCCATGAATATTTAAGTTTATAAGCTCACAAAAAATAGGAATGTAAAAAACCATACTGCTGAAGTGGCCATTTAGCGCCGGCTACGATTTTTTCAGGTGACCGAAAAGAAGCTTATTCAAAGGTCGGCATCCTGGTGTGACTTAACTATCTACTCGGAGTTATGTCGCACACTAATTCATATTACAACCTCACCAAAGTAGTCCTTTTTGATTGCAAGCACGTTTTAGAATTTCGGTTAACACTATGTGAGAGAGGCAGCTACACTGACGTCACTTTGCCGTTGTGGTGGCTGTGTTTCCCAAATCCCCTCTGGTTGCGACCTAATGGTGGTAGGCGTGCATTCCGCAGGGGTTTAAGTAGGTAGAATGGCTGGTAGAATGTCTTTGTCGGGATTGCCATTCTGCCTATATTATGCGCAGCTGTGCGGCTGCTGGTTAGGCTCGAGAGAGAGCCCGTAAAGCACGACGGAACGAGTGAATTCCGTAAGAACAATCGGCGAGCGCCTCCTACCATTGTTTAAGTAGGTCCCCGCCGCTCCTTTGTTATTTGTCTTTCCTTCGACTACCGAGTGATTCACCATACGCGAACGCTGAGTAAATCCTTCGGAACAAACCAAAATTTTGCTCAGAATTCGGAGTAAATATTTGTGTTGAAATCCGCCATTTACTGCGGAAAAACCGCACAATATTCGCAAGCTGCCGACAGGCAGTCGGTAGCGTACGATTAAATGATTCATCGTACTGACAGCGCAGTTATTAGTTAAAAGTCCGCACACTCTCTCCCTCTCCCTTCACCAAACTTGCATTGATGCAAATCAGTATCAAGACGACTAGCCGTGAGCTCGGACGCGGGGGCCCACAAGACCGAACATCCCCTCTACGCGCGCCACTCACGGTCTGGTTCTCCTCACATGTACGAGGCTTCGAAAATGGCGGCCCGGATCTCACATCAGTAAGAGTGCCACGAAGGAGGACCACTGCGACCTGACTTTCGGTCCTCATAGGAACAAGTTGCCCGTCAGTTGGCGAACTTCCAGACCACGACTCTTTGCACGTTAGATTTATTATTAGTGAAGAGTGCCCTGATGTGCCGTGAGGGGGTGTGTTCCCCCCCCCCCATGCATTTATCGACTGTTCGAGTCTGTCAACCAGCTGGTGGTGAAATTGGACGCTGTTGTGGTTGACGCGTTATGCAAGTCCACGTCTAGGCGTGCCACCACATTGCTCCCCAGCCATGGTAGCATTTGTGGACTCGAGCAGATTTCGCGCAGCCTGATTGACGCGTTTTGCGAGTCTTGCCGGCCAAGTTTTTGGTTTAGCACACCTACACCGCGGCCTGTTTCGTGGAAAATTCGCCACCCCTTAAGGCCCACCAGTAGAGCTCAGTAGGCCGACCTAAAGTTCACGTGACAGTTGACTGAAGTCGCGTCCCTATGCCGATCCTCCCCACTCAGAAATCTCGGTCATAACCTTTGCGCATGTATTCCATCTCTCTAGTGCTGTCTTAAACAGCACTTCCATCCTCTCTGCTGTCTTTATGTGTTCGTCTAGGCTCGTTGGCAGCCAATGCATTCGCAAGTCATACACTTCATTTCATTGTTGCATTGTATCGTTTTATTAAGGTTGTGGCCCCCGGCACTGTTTGATCCCCCAAGAGGCGATGACATGGGGGCGATTTACTCCAAATCTTTTTACCTTTTTCATGTCCTCAACGGCAGAGGATAAACCAAAATGTTTCAACTTATTCTCCTTTTTTTCTGAATTTCAGGGAGTCTTCAATCCAGCTCTTACTCATGAGTCTTGGCGTGGGCACCATGCATGCCCTCTCCTCTCTGCCGGCCTGACCTAAAGCGCTTTTCACCAAAGTTCTGTCTATTTTCTCTGAACCTTTTTAATTTTGTTAGTTGCCTTGCTTGAACGTTGCATCGCACAATCACTAGTTTCATCCAAACTCCTCATATTACTCTTTATTTGGTCTTTTGCCAGTATCAATATCACACTCATGCGTTCTTCCCGGAGTGTTTTACTTTTCCTCGCCCATCTCATTTGTAAAGGCCTCCATCTCGGTAACCCCCCTCTTCATCGGTGAACCGCACTTGTTAACTCGGAGCAGTTCCTGTTCCATGTACGTGTATACCAGTCTGAAGGTCCGCAGGCGTTTAGACAGCCGACGACTGTTCGGGGAAATTGAATGTTCAGTAAACAGAACCTATATTATGAGCCACTGCTCGCCTCTCATAAGTAGTTTGCAACCGTGGGCCATCTTCCTGATGATTGCCTCAGCACTGGAATTGCTTATTTCCTGGCTCAATGAACTAAGGATGTCAACAGCAGGCCCACGTGCTACAGTGGTTGGCCGTCACAACTACATGCTGACTACCGCATGAGTAGTATTTTCTAACTTGCAGCCAATAGTGATTTCTCTGCGAATCGATTAATGCGAGTCTAAGCGCACACAGAGAGGTAACAATTCGTAGTGTACGAACGTCCTGGCGTACGCTACCGAACACTGGCACCATGGATCTGGTTGTTTTCCTCCGGATCACCCTAGATTCTATCAAGTAAACAGAGTTAAATGCTCTGTGCCAAGTAATATATACTGTAGATGAGCTATCTCATAAAACGTTAACCGAAATTCGGAAACACGTCTTCGATTCGAAAAAATAACTTTGGTATGGCTGCGAGATTAATGATCGTGCAGCAGGATCCAAAAATATTTCAGCCGCTGAAAGGGCTTCTTTTCTGCCGTCACCAGAGACTACACTGTAATAAGGTCAGGTTTTTCTCACTGAATTTCGATGCCCTAGTATATTTTAGCATATTTCCTAGAAAACTTACCCATTCGGGGATAAATTACATGAGTGGAAGAGAATATGCGCATCCCAGGTTCTTGTTTAAAAAGGAAGACGAAGGCACGATGACTGGGACGGTAGATTTATTGGCCTTAGCCTTCGGACTCGAACTGGAGTTCAGCATCAGAGACTGCTAGAGTGCAGCAACGTGTGAACATTTATATCGTTGTTCCGTGTGGGGGGGGGGACTACGTTCGTGGCTAGGTCTGGTTTGTGACGCCTGGTCCACAATGGTCCCCCGGCGTGGTGACGCCGTTTGTACTTTGCGGCGATGTGAGCTGCGCCACCTGGCTGCGTGGGCGGAGTGTGTGAAAACACGCAGGCAAATCAATGTGCCTATTGCTAGAGTTGGTGTCCGACGCGCACGTTGCTGCACTCTAGCAGTCTCTGATGATGAACTCCAGTTCGAGTTCGAAAGCTAAGGCCAATAAATTACATATTTAAATCTTATACTTGAAGATAGATTGTAATTTGGTTTTAAAAAAACCTTTTAGATTTCGAAATAATTTTGAGCCCGACCTGCAGTTACACTTGCATTCAGGGTTGCCAAAATACAAGCTACATATTTTCCCTATAGAGGAGAGACACTTCATTCTCTACAATCAACGTTAATAAATGTAGAGATACCCCGTTTTATGGATGAACATTTCACCATCTTAAAAATTTTATATTTGGAAATTTTGAGAACCGGGAGAGGCTATTTCTTCAAGTAAAAAATTTATAGAGGGCGTAATTTGCTACCGAGCCAGTAAAAGGATTAATATTTTCTGAATGTTCTCCATGAACTATATTTGTACTTATAAGGGCGCCGAAAATCAATGAGAAAAACTCGATCTACTTTATCAGTCATTTTTTATAGAGTGAGGTCTTTTCAGACGGCCGGGAAGAGGCTGGTTTAAAAGCCGTCATTGTAAGGTGACTTAAATATTTTGGGAATATGCTGCACGGTATTCAATATCACAGCCGTACTTATGTAGTCTTTTCTAGTCAAATTGGCATTTCAGAATTTCGGTTAACATTTCATGGGTTAACACATCCACTGTAAGTCACGAAAGGTCGCTAGAAAGTGTCACATTTCCAGCAGTCGTGCCTATCGTCTATGTATAAAATCTGGTAACGCGCAGAGCGCCACATATACTGGTCGGCCGGTGTTGGCCATCCTGTTTCTCGTCGACTATCCAGACTACGACAGGGGCAGTGTCAGTCGCATAACAGTTCCTCTCTCGACGATAATGTTCGTTGACTGTTACCGTGTTTGGGTAACGGCGCATGACCTTTTAAGTCGGATGCCGACCCACTGCCACTCGGCTTTCGAGGCCACTCGGTTCCCGTGTCTCGATGAGGAATCTTCCCACCTCATCGAAAATTCAGAAGACAAGCTACCGGGCATGAGTATATTTGTGCCTAGGGGGTAGCGGGTGCGACCTAACTACAGCAAATTTCGTGGCTGATCTCGTTTAGGTGTTTGTCCTGCGCAGGAAGGCGGTGGCGAACTGGGCCGGCTGGCCCCAGGCACTTGCCTACGTCTCTGCAAGTGTGATGTGGACGTGAATAAATAAATGCGTGCTTCACGTGAGGGCCAGTCGATTTGGTGGGTGGACTGAGCGACTCCAGGGCCTGTGATTGGCTGTCCGCGAGACAGGGTGCGTGGGTGCTAAGGTCTGAAGACGAGTGTGCGCGTAAAATACCTACAAGCATGCCCTCGATAAGAACCCATCGATGGCAAATCAATACGCAGATAGGTCAGCCGAAGACGGGCTAATCATTGTCTGGTATCACGAAAAAACTGCGCGAGTGACCTCACGCCATCTACACACGTACAATTGCCCGACTCAGAAGATGAAGATGCGATCACTGGGACAAGAAGTTTATTGGCCTGACGTTTCGGGTTCTCACTCGAGCCCATCATCAGAGACATTCGCAGATAGAGGTAAAGGTGGCACCAGGAATGCAGTATTTATAGCACGTGGC